AAATATACTTATTTTGTTTAAAATTTGATATTTAGCTTATTTGTTGCCTTTTAACAAAAAGCAAGTTACAAAAATAAACAAAATTTTTTTTTTTTTTTGAATTAATAACTTCTTACAAATGCTATCTAAATATTCTACTTTTTAGCAATCTACAAATTTAGAAAGACTTCAAGCTTTAATTATTAAAGACATATTAGATGCTTATCTAATTTCTGTTTAGATAAAACTTTTTATCTTAAACTCAATATAGGCAGCATATAAAAAAGACAAAATAAGCATAATATTTAAAAAAAAAAGAAATACATTTCTAATATAGTCTCTAAATTTAGACAATATATATTCAAAAGCTTGGTCTACAAAATGAAAACTTTACTTACTAGCCTAAACAAGAACTAAAAAAAAGATTATTTTTATCTTTAATTGATCTTAGAATAAAAAAAAAATTATAATTAGAAAAATAAAAGAAGATAAGCTCTTAGTTAAAAAAATCTTAAAGCTTTTAAAGAAGCTTATACTATCTTCTATTTCTTTTCATTCTGCACTTTAGACTATCTAATCTACTTGGCTTTTTTTAAAGTTTAATTTTTTTTTTTTTGGAGTTAAGGTGAGATCATGCCTTAAGTCTGTTTATTTGAACATGTTGTTACAGTTTGTATAACTTTTTACATTATACATTATCTATTACTATATGTCTAATTTAGAAATGAGACTCAGACTAGTTTATCTACAACCTAAATCTACCAGAGCTAATCTTGTATCCTATTTACACATAATCTAGATTTTTGTTTCACATCCATCTATATTAGATAATCTGCATATTCCCCTCATGTCTCACAACCTATTTAAACAACTTTCAAATTGGTCTACTAGGTTGTTCACTCCTTATGAGCTATCATCTTTGGTTTGCCAGAACAATGCCTTACAGTTCGTATCTTAAGCCAGGGTCCTGCTGCTGCTGCTACCTTGCCAATTCAGATATTAGTAGCATGTATTTCCAGCCAGGTCCCTGCTGCTGCTACTGGTTTGCACTCTTCTGGTCTTAATGTTATTTTCAATGAATTGTACAACTAACCTGCTCCTTTAGTACTCTCTTTTATAATAATAGTCTGAACCTGTTTTGCAAGTTATCTCTTCCAGCTGTCGCCATTGTAATATTATTATTACTTCCAATTTGGGGTATCTCAACCTTGATTGGTGTAGTATTCATGTTGGTACATTCATCCTTATATCGTCATAGACTTCTATATAGATGTGATCAGAGTTCTGGCTTGGTATCTTTAGACATACAGAACAGGTTACTTCCTCTATACATTTTGTTATTTTCAATATCAGGACATTCCACAATACCAGAAGTGCTTCCAATCTTGATAAGGCTAATCCTTTTTCACAGCCCATCCTCATGTTTACTGCTTCTCTTACCATTCCAGTCTTGGTTACAACCAGACTACTCTTTCAATTAAATCCTTTTCCTTAGATCCCAATTAGGACTTATTTGCACAATTTGTTGATTATCCTTCCAAGCAAGTACCCTACAAGTAGGGTGCAGAGATATTGGTACTATCTAATTAGGAGGTATGAAGATGTTGGTGCTGCCCTAGCCTAAAGGACTTACATGTGCAATATTTTCATAACTGTAACCTTCTGTAACAGCTGCTTGTTACATATAATGCCTATGCTCCATGATTGGGTTTCCTTCTGGGAATTCCTACTTCAGTTATATACTGTACTTAAACTTGACTACAGAGCTTCGCATTCAATTACTGGCTCCTTATTGGGTTACAAAGACTAAAATCTTTTTAGTTTTTTGCCTTTAGCCAAACTTGAACCATTGACCTTAACTGTAGGAGCATGGGAGCTTAACCGCTAAGCTATGGGACCCACACTCTTTTTTTAAAGTTTATATATAATAATAAAAAAGTTATTTTCTAATATCTCTTTTATAAAGCTCTTTTTTTAGATTATTGTCTTAAACATATTAATTTATTAGAAACAGACAGCTGTATTTAGTGTTCTAAGAAGTTACAAACTCTTAAACATTTTATTTTTGAGTGTTTTAGAAGTATAATAATCTGGAAAAAGATATATAAGTTTCTTAATATCAATAAAAAAAAATCTTTGCTAACTATATTAAAAAGTGTTTTTTAGACTTTTAACATTAATTATGCTCAAGTATTAACTATTATAACCTGGCTATATATTAATATAATCTATGAAATTTGATATTAATATACTTTATTAAAATAAAAAAGCTCTAATACTTTTTTAAGTTACTTAGTATATTAATTAAAGCTTATATTTCTAAGAAAATACATATCTTAAAACATAATGCACTAGGTTATAGACCTAAAACTGCCAAACTAATCTGTAAATATCTAAAATATATATAAACTATTCATAATAGTTTAATATAATAATTTCTTAATTAAAAGTGTTACTTGTATTCTTAGTTGCTAAAGCAATAAGAATACTTAAAAAAAAATTATATATAAAATTAATAATAAAATTTATTTATATTTAATTTTATAAAAAATTATAATAAATAAACTAATATTAATTTATAAAAAAACTTTGTAGAGTATATTTTTTGATTTTAATAATAGTAAAATTATTAAATTTAATTAAAGAGAAAATTTATTTAATGCCTAAAACAGATTTGTCTGTATATATATATTAATTATAATACTGCATATATTGGTTATAACACTGCATATTTAACTAAATAAATATGTAATTTTATGTTATACACTGGTTGGCTCATATAGAATCTACGTATTATCACTTGTTAATTTTCTTTTATATAATTATTCATTAGCAATACATTTAGAACTGCTTGAATACAAAAATTTAATCATATATAGTCAACCTTTTATCTATAGCAGAAACTATTAATATTATACATATATTAAAATTGATGAGTGATTATATTCATCACAATTAAATCTAGCATAAATAATATAATTTGTGATTGATTATAGATGAGAAGAATTTACTTTTAATTAGGTACTGTCTTTGTTGTACCTTGTATCTAAAAATTTTTTACTTTAAGAACTACTAGTTCATTATAGTGTTGCTATATATATATATTCTTTAAGACCTTTAGAAAAGCATTCATTGGTTTTTGCATTGCAATTGTGAAATACTTTATCAGAAGTATATATTAACAGTTGAAAGTACAATATATAGTAATTGTGAATTATCTTACTAGAAGTAGTTGTTAAATATTTTTTTTTTTATAACATACAGTAAGTAAATTGAGTTTATAGAATTGCTAACATGTAAGCAACCACAACTAATTCTTTATTTTTAAAGATAGCCTTCATTTATCTATATATCTTCATTCTATTATAAATAAGACTATAAATACTATTGACAATAATAGTGAAACTATACTTAATACAGACTTTTTAAATGAACTTTTAAATAATAAATCTTACAAACCTGATATTAAGACTATGAAAACTGATTTTGAATATAATAATAAAAGTACTGCTAAAAGTGATGGCTGGGTTTAAGATGAAAATATTTCATTAATAGAACCTCCACAATTACATACTAGAATGACATTTTCTTCATAGACTGTTGTTAATAGATCAATAAAAGTCTTTGTATATCATAATGGTTTTAGTGTTTGAAAATATCATTCTAAAAAATTGAATAAAAAATGTGTTAGATAACATATTTGTGTCAACATTTCTCTGTATATAAGCTCATAAAAAAAAAAACTCAGAAAAGCAAAAAAATAAAAATTCTGCTCAAGTTAATTGTCCTTAGAAAATTCATATTCGATATCAAAAAAACAGTCATAACTTAAAAGTTTCCTCATTTAATAGTAATTATAAAAATCATACTTTAGATTCAGTAAATCAACAATTTGCACCTCAATATTGACAATTAACTTAGACACTTCTTAAAGACATTAAATTTTATACTCAAAAAGGTCATCTAGAAGCAACTGACCAATATCATTTATTAAAGACTTCATATTCTTATCATACTTTATACAAAAAAGACCTTTATAATGCAATACAACAATTTTGTAATGAGAATGATTAAACCTTGATGATGCAGCAAGATTATTTAAATATCTGTTGAATCAAAGATTTAATAATAACAATTTATATATGAAATATAAGTTTAATAAAAGAACTAATGCATTAACAAACCTATTTTAGATGATGTCATATCAACTTGCTCTTTAGAATTGTTATCATGATGTAATCATTTACAATAACATTGCTAAAACTAATTAGTATAAAAAACTATTATCATTATTTATTTGTATTAATAATAATCATAATTCAAAATTAGTTGTTCAAGCTATACTCAATGATAAAACTAGAGAATCTTATTTTTGGGTATTAGAATGTGTGTTAAAAGCTACAAACTATATTGAACTAATGTCTTTATAACTGATACTGATCTGGTTATGCTTTCTGTTATTACTAATATATTTTTTAATACAACTTCACTTTACTGTATTTGGCATTTGAAACAAAACTTAATAAAAAATCTGAAAGAAAAATTAGGCAACAAATTTGATAGCTTTATGAAAGCTTTTTATCAATGCCATAATTTTCTTTTAATTCCAATATTTGAATATTGCTAGGCAAAATTAATTTAAAACTACTCTAATGCAAATGATTATCTTATAAAAAATCTAAACTCTTATAAGTTTGCATAGGCTAAAGCATTTATATATAGTATATTTAATGCTGATATTCAGTCTTCACAAAGAGCTAAGACAACTAATTCTGTTATTAAAAGACAGTTAAATTATTGAAACATTACTATTTATGATTTATTTATAGAACTAGAAGAAAGACTTGCAACTGAAGCTATCAATAGTACTTTTATAAATTAGAAAATGTTACAATGTCTCTTTAAAAGCAATCAAAATATTAGTAGTGTTTTTAAGCCTATTGATAATATAATTAAAACTTTTTTAACACTAACAAGTTTAAAAAAACAACAAAATTAAATAAATCTTAGTGCACAATATCATGTTACAATCATTTTACATAAAGATTAATATAATTAGCAAGTAAGTTAGAATTAGTGTTAGGATTAGGATTTGATTTAGTGTTAGGGTTAGATTTAGTATTAGGATCAGATTTAGTATTAGTTTAGGTTTAGCAGTAGAATTAGGTTTACTAAAGCTAGGATTAAAATTAATATTAGGATCAGGTTTAGTAATAGAATCAAATTTCTTACTAAAGTCTAGATTGGTATTAAAGTTGGTTTGTATATATATTAATTTGGATTTTTATTTTGGTTTTTAGATTTAGAAAATAGATAATAAATGTGTCAATGATATATTTGATTATTCTTAAGCTTTAACATTGCATATTTTTCACCAATTTAATAATTCAATTATTATGGTTTGAAATACAGTCAATATTAATATGCCTATTTTTTCATAGTTTATATTTTTACTTTCTGATGACACATTTATTTGTACCTATATAATAATTATTTCTTATAACATATTATGTCAACATTATTTATAAGTCATTGTTATGTGTTTGTTAGTTACATTTTATATAAATATAATATATTCTCAATAGTTCAAAGATATGATCAACAATAATGAAATTGAATAATTAGCAACGATCTCAATTTTTCAATTTGATATTAGCAATCATGAAGTTGATGTATAATCTAATTATAATACTCAAACCAAACTAAATACTATTTCATTGCTATATATGGGTATTAAAAATTTAGATCAGAACTCTGTTAATTATCAAAATATTTAAAAAAAATATTATACAAATCAAGCAAAGATCAAACAATGAACATTATTTAGTAAACTTTAAGATGTTGCTCATAAAGCTACAGAAATCGCTGTGAATTCTGAAGATTACAGTTTTTTAGAAATACTTAATAACTATATAGATTAATCTACACACAATTCAAGTAAATCTCAATTAAATATTTCTATTAATAAAAATCAGATTACAAAAGAAAGTAGTAAAGGCAACCAAATTCAAAATCCAATTAAAAGACAAGAAAAAGAAAGACCTTCAGAAAGACTTGCAAAAAAATCACATATACAAAGTAGTTTAGAAAAAGAAAATTTAACTATAGTTTCTTAAAATATTGACAATAATACCTCTAATATTAGAAAATACAAATATAGTCTTTGTAATTCATTTTTCTATACAAAAGCATAATGTTCAAATAGGCAACCACTACAAGAACTTCATTGTAGATAACAAACTAGATAGTAAAAAATAAGAAACTACTATATGCATATGAGTTGTTATTTTTATATATAATTATTAGTAAGAAGTATATTAAGCTTAGGATTCTTATTTTTATCTTAGCTGCATAATTCATTTTAAGCATACTTGAATCAATTTATTTTTAATATCTTGTGTAGTTTATAAAACTATATTATAATATAAGGTTATTAATTCTAACATTAAATCTTTTATAAAGTTAAAAATAATATTATGTAGTTATTATGCAATTGATTTGTATATGAATACAAGTCTTTATTATATCAATATATAACATATGTCAAATTGGTTTTTAGTTTGTTAATCTTAAGCTGTAACAAAATAATCTTTAGCAAAACTTTAGAATTAGTATAGACTGGGATTATGTTGATGCCAGCCAGAATTTTTAATTGATTAGTTTGATCTGAATCAAGTTAAGAGTCTAGCATTATCTAAGAGTCTAGTATCACTATTGTAAAAAATTTTGCCAACTATGTGATCTTATTGAAAAAATTAGTTTACAATTAGTTTAGAGTTAGGGTCCTATTAGTAGAATGATGTTTAGTTTAAAGGGTTATAGTTATAGTAAAATTTACAAGAAATTTCTTTTGTTAGTATACAGCAAGTTTTGCATTACACAAGATCTTGAAATCTGATTAGGCAGTGAAATTTTTTTACAGATGATTTAACTGCTATTAATCAAGTTAACTCAATCTAAAAACTAATTTATATAGATATATATTATAGTTATACAATATATGATATTCATTTAACATGCCTAACTTTTATTATATATTGTAGGCAAATTTTCTAGGTATCAAATAGCAAAACTCTTAATTAAAAACTTAATAAAATATAAATTTTTTTTTTTTTAAATATTAAGGTAAGTACTTGTAACTTAAGATTTTATTGATAGTATATTTGACTAATAGATACTTTATTACTACAAGAGCAATCATGAAAAGAGTGTACAACTAGTCACTTATACAACTTTAGTTATTGTCTAATTTAAGTAGTCTGCTCAAAGGTTCTATACTAGCTGCCATATCTAAACCTGCTTGTAGATTCCTTATTTAACCACTCTAGTTTTTTATTTATCCATCTATCTTTGTCTATTAATGATTTTGGCCAATGCCAGTAAAAATATGCCATGGCTATTGAGTCTTTAAAGCAGTTTTTTGAAACCTTTGACCTTGTACTAAACCTTTCAGAATCTTCTGTATTCTATTTTTATAACTAACCTGATATTATTATGACTGAAACCAATACTAATAGTCAGAGGATATCATTAAACTACTATGTTCTTGTAAAGTTATCCCAACTCTAATATTGACTTTATAATATATTTTTATTACTTTGGTATTTAATTCAAGTTTCACCAAGTTGCCAATTCAAATAGTTCAGAAAGGCAGATCATAATCATACATTTCTGGTTTACATGTTTGCTAGCATATAACCTTTTCTTCATAATTTAGAAATTTCAGTAGCCTGGTTGGTTCATTCAGTTCCTTCTCAAAGACCAACACATTTGTCTAATTTCACAAGTTCTAGCTCTGTTTTATAGATATAATCTTTACAATAACACTGTTAAAAGTTTGAGTTATCTCTTTATTTAGGTTTTTCAAATAGGCTTTTATCTTTCTATCTGGTTCCTGTGATTTATATGGCCTAAAAACTTATCTTGAGTTTATACTGCCTAGTACCAGTTTGTGTTCTTTTGTACAATATTGTACAAGTGCTTAGACCTTTTAGTTATGTTGATATAATACAAATTACAGGTTTCTAATCCTAACCAATTATGAAAGACAGTTAACTGTAATACAGAAAGAATTGCAAATTTTCATCATCACTAGGATTTAAACTCTAGACTTGCTACTTGGAGGTTAACAATCTATTTACTTTACTAAGTTATTATACTTTAAGAAATTTTTATCAATAATGTAAAAGATTCTATAAATTATATAATTGTATGCATTGTAAGTTATAGAACTATGTAAGATTAAATTCATTAAAAAATAAAACTTAATACTTAGTACATATGCATTTAGACCAGATAGAGTTCAAAAATATATAACTTTAGTTAAGTACTAATTTTAGCTAAACAACCTGGTTAAAAAATAGTACTTTAAATTTGCCTCATCTTACAAATAAGTTATATATAATAAAGATAATACTGTAATAAAATTTATTAAAAACTAGCAAACTGTAGTAATTTTTAATAGCAAGAGTGCTGAGTAGAAGATCTTTTATTTAAAGAAAAATAAAATAAATAAAAATAACCAAGAATAAGAAATAAATATTTAAAAGTAGAATTTAAATTCAATAGCCTTCTAGATACTATAAGGATTTTTACGATAGGCTGGTTGTAGAGAAGATTTGACCTATTGTTCTTTTTGTATTAGTCAGGCTTAACAACAAGAATTATCTGTGCTAGACTTAGAAGTATCCTAAGACACTAAAAGAGGTAATTAGCAACAGATAATCAGACTGTTCTAAGCTATATATAGCTTTTTAAATTCTAATAACATAAAGCTAATACCTGCCAAAGTACTATTCACAAATATAACTATTACTTTATATTATTACAAGAAAAAAAAAAAATATTCAATAATATAAAGCTAGTATTTGCCAAAATAACTAATTAAGAAAACCAGCTATTTACTTTATATTATTACAAGAAAAAGAAAAAAATTAAATAAAGAAAAATAATTTATAGAAGCAATAAGATAAAGAAATAAAATAAAGAATAGTTTTATTAATGATAATAGGTAAAATAATATTTTATTAAAACTCTTTCTGTAGATTATTAAAAAAACAAAAAAGTAAACAAAATCAGTACTAAAATATTGAACATATTAATTAAAATAGAACAAAAGATACTTGAAAAGAAAGAAAATAAACTCTCAGAACATCTAAGTCTAATTCAACATAGCCAAAAGACAAAGAACCTTAAGCACTAAACTACAAGACTTCAAAACTTCTCTTAACACTAACTTGGTGCTGCTACCTTTACAGATGGATCCCTATGAGGCTCCAGTTCAACTAAACATCCAAACTACACTAGCTACATCTCAAGCTCTCTCAAATAAAAGACCTAAAGAAAATGCAGAACTAGAAACAAACTTCCCTCCTTTAAAAAAAAATAAAACTAACAACTCTAACTCTTCTGTTTCCTTTACATCCTACTCTTGTCAAAAAAATTTAACAAAAAGTAGGCAACCCAGCTTACTTCTTACAAAATCTCAAATGATGTTACAAACTACAGCCACTAAAACAAATATGCCCAAATCAGTGAATATTCACATGCCCCAAAACTTCACTATTACATTACTCAATCCATTATACTTAACATCTGTACCTAATAGTTTCATTCCAGAAAACAACCCATGGAACCCTGAACCAATTACACTTACAGAAAATCTATCAACTCAATTAAGCTCGATGTTAACTATGCATACTGACAACATGGACACCATTTCTAATACTTTTAAAAATTATCAACAAGTTACCAAACAATTATATAGCAAAGCATTAACATCCAACTTACCAAAACCAAAAAACAACACAACTTTCGACTAGTGTAATTCTGTAACTAAAGCTTTTGTAGCAAGATGAGTACTCAACTTTAATCTTCAAACTTGAAATAACGATAAAATGATTGAAGCCCTTAATGACAAACAACAACTTTTGGAATTTTTTACTCACAAAATTCAAACTATCCCTCCAATTCACAACATTCCATATGCTATTAATCAAAAATTTAATTATTTAGATACAGCATTTTTTTGCTTCTTTACAAGAACAAAAACTACAGCCCTCCAATATCAAAAAGAATTCAACTTACTATACCAAATTGCTCTCAAAAAATATAAAAAACTACACAATGCTATTTTGATTAACAAAGTTAACAGAGACCAAATCCACAAAAAACTCAAAATCAAAATTGCTTTAGATTATATTAGAAACTTAGATTTTCTTATAACAAGTCCCCATGAATATACAAGACATATATTTTACTGTCTTAACTTTGCACAAATTCCTTGTGTACTTACTTTTAAAGAAACATGCAAACTTCTTAATAAAGCACACTTCCAACTTCTTATTCCACTACCAACTTCTCCAGACCTAATCAACCAAAGCATAAAAGAAATACTTCCTTTTCTACTTCCAATTAAAGATCGAAAATTTACTCGAACAACAGTGCTAGCACTTTATAAAATCTACACTTTCAATCAACTCAACGATAGCTACATTGCTAATTCTATTATCCCTCTTCCTGAAAATCCAAATGATCTAAATGCAGAAACATGTGCAATGTTTCCAATAACAAGCTGATCTGAATTACCTTATCTAGCAAAATATAGACAAAAACTATGCAAATATTATGATTTTGATCATATACAATCTAATTACTTTGACCTACTACCTACTCGGGAAACTTTACCATCAACACCTCAAAATCTTAATTCAGCTGTAAGATACCTCTTTCTTTGCAATCCTAAAGATTCAACTGATTTTAAATGGTACATAAACATCTTATGAGAGCATTATAGCTTTCACAAAATTCCAAATGACTACTTTATCCAAAAAAAACTACTTTCAAAGAAACCAAACCAAATCAAGACCTCTATTACTTATAATTTTCCTATAACTGATTATTACCTAGCAAAAGAATTCCTAGTAAAAATTCAAGATATATACAAATTTAACATTCTATTACTACTAGAGTATATGACAGTTAATCCTACAAACAAACCTCAACTACTTACAGATCCTATTTTGATTACTGAGCTTAATCTAACACTCTCTATTACAAGTCCTAAAATCCTAGTAGAAACTGCTAGACAACTCTGCACACATTACTTCTTTTACCA